GTGTGAGTGTGTGAGTGAGTGTGAGTGAGTGAGTGAGTGTGTGTGTGAGTGAGTGAGTGAGTGAGTGAGTGTGTGTGTGTGTGTATTGTGTTCTATATACAGTATATTGTCTTCTTTCAGTAAACTGAGTACAGACTGTTTAATGGTTTGATGAATGAAGAGTGTGTTGTCTCTTGCGCAGGTTTCTCCAGCTTGTCTCTGGGAGACCAGATGAGTCTACTGCAGAGCGCATGGATGGAGATCCTGATCCTGAGCATCGTCTTCCGCTCGCTGCCCTACGAGGACGAGCTGGTGTATGCGGAGGACTATGTGATGGACGAGGAGCACTCGCGGCTCACGGGCCTGCTGGACCTCTACGTGTCCATCCTACAGCTCGTGCGCAAGTACAAGAAGCTCAAGGTGGAGAAGGAGGAGTTCGTCACGCTGAAGGCCATCGCACTCGCCAACTCAGGTATCAGCAGCTTTAGATTGATTCGTTTGTTTGTTTGTTTTATATTTATATATATATTTTTTTTACATTTATACATATGCCATTCAATTGTTTGGAATCATTTTTTTGTTGTTGTTTTAATTCATACATTTATTCAGCAAGGACACATTAAATTGCACATCCAAAGTGACAGTAAAGACATTTATAATGTTACAAAAGATTTCTATTTCAAATAAATGCTGTTCTTTTGAACTTTCTGTTCATCTGTGAATCCTGAAAAATAAAATGCATCACAGTTTCCACAAAAATATTGTGCAGCACAACTGTGTTCAACATTGATAATAATCAGAAATGTTTCTGGAGCAGCAGATCAGCATATTATACTGATTTCTGAAGATCATGTGACACTGAAGACTGGAGGAATGATGCTGAAAATACAGCTGCGCATCACAGAAATATATTACAGTTTAACAGAGATTCACATAGAAAACTGCTGTTTGACATTGTAATAATATTTCACAATTTTACTGTTTTTACTATATTTTTCATCAAGTAAATGCAGCCTTGGTGAGCATGAGACTTTGAATATAGATTTTTTTCTTTAACAAATTAACCTAACCAGCTGTCACATTTGTCACGTTCTGAGATAAATCGATCATTTTATTTTGATTGATGTTTTAGCATCATATCCCACTTGTTCCTCTCATACACATTTCACTGTCAGGCAAGAACTGCACAGAAAATCAATTAACCTACATTTAAAATCTCTAAAATATGTGATAAATATTAACATTAAAAGTATTAAATAAAAGTTCAAGGACAAGCACAACGTCACCACATCACATTCAGCCTTTACATTTACAGTAACAGAGAGGAATCACAGTAAACCTCAGAGCTTTACACTGGCTGTTTTTATCAATATCATCTTTCACTTAAAGTATATACAAGCCAAAACCAAAATAGCTACTGTAATGTTTTATTTTTCTACTCTGTTGTGTTACATTGCGTCAATTAAATTTCTGAAGAGCCTTAAAAAGGAGCCACATACAAAGATTGACCTGACGTGTACAGTATACACGGTTTCTCACTGAATGCTTTATTTATCAGTACGGTATACTCGAGCATACTCACATGTTTCCGGTGACATGAGTCCTGAGGACGGACACAGCCCGTGTAAAGATGAAGGGAGCAGAAACAGAAGAGCACTGCCGTGTTTCTCTCTCCATAAGAGTAGCCACGGGGCCCAGCCGCTGCCACAGATAAATTTAGCATTTCATTAGGAACACCAGGGCTGTCAATAAAATGTGTAAAGTCGAATGGAATGAGTATCAGCGAGCGTTCGGGGGAGAAGACACAGGCCTGTATCGACAGCTGGCTTTTCAGAAGGCAGGCCCCGTCCTCGCCTGATCAATGCGGCCCGCGCTCCGCCTCGTTTTATTCTGCCGTCTCGTCCGCTGTCTCTCTTTGTCTGGCTGAGAAATGAAAATGCTGATGGTTGGCTTTGGCGCGCATGGGGGATTACGGGAGAGAGAGAGACGCGCTCTGTCCGATGGCTCTCGCGGGACTGCCGCTGTCTGACAGCTGTGAAAATTCATAGCCATTGATTTTGTAATTAGCAGTTTATCAATCGTATCGACAGGCTCTTTCTGATGGATTGCAAGGAAATTGTTTCTTCAGATGTGTTTTTTTAACCTCCACCTCTCGCACACACTCACACACACACACACACACACACTCACACACACACACACACTCTCTCACACACGCCTTCTGTCTGTCTCTGTTTCACACTGCGAAATGTGATTCTTCCTCAGTATTTTTGTCTTGTTTTCCAGTATAAATATCTAAACTTAAATTATGATAGATTCACTTCAGAAGCAAAATGACAAGATAGTAAGTCTTATTAATGGAAAAAAATTAATCAAAATTAAATGAGTTTATGCTTAAAACTAGGGGTGGGCGATATGGCAAAAATATCATATCACAATTTTTTTATTTTTTTTTCAGAAATATCACAATTTCACGTCACATAAATACTTTTTAAATCAGTATTTATATACAGTATTTTTCAAAATTTTTGGGGTCAGTAAAATTGTTTTAATGTTTTGAAAGTCTCTTCTGCTCACCAAAAAAATACAGTAAAAACGGTAATATTGTAAATATATTTTCTATGTGAGTATCTGTTAAACTGTAATGTATTTCTGTGATGCGCAGCTGTATTTTCAGCATCATTACTCCTCTGTCTGTCTCTGTTTCACACTGCGAAATGTGATTCTTCCTCAGTATTTTTGTCTTGTTTTCCAGTATAAATATCTAAACTGCCTTAAATTATGATAGATTCACTTCAGAAGCAAAATGACTAGATAGTAAGTATTATTAATGGAAAAAAATGAATCAAAATTAAATGAGTTTATGCTTAAAACTAGGGGTGGGCGATATGGCAAAAATATCATATCACAATTTTTTTATTTTTTTTTCAGAAATATCACAATTTCACGTCACATAAATACTTTTTAAATCAGTATTTATATACAGTATTTTTCAAAATTTTTGGGGTCAGTAAAATTGTTTTAATGTTTTGAAAGTCTCTTCTGCTCACCAAAAAAATACAGTAAAAACGGTAATATTGTAAATATATTTTCTATGTGAGTATCTGTTAAACTGTAATGTATTTCTGTGATGCGCAGCTGTATTTTCAGCATCATTACTCCAGTCTTCAGTGTCACATGAATAAAATCTCAGTGACTCCAAACTACTGAACGGTAGTGTAATAAATATATAATTTTATTGTTAAAATTATTTATTATTTAAAAACTATTTAAAATAAACAAAATACTATGTCGGTACGTTACAGATGTCGGTACGTGTACTCAGCATGTGTGATGTTTGTTGTTCTGGTGACAGACTCTATGCACATAGAGGACGTGGAGTCGGTGCAGAAGCTCCAGGACGCCCTTCACGAAGCGCTGCAGGACTACGAGAGCTGTCAGCACACAGAAGACCCTCGGCGGGCGGGGAAGCTGCTCATGACGCTGCCGCTGCTCCGGCAGACGGCCACCAAGGCCATCCAGCACTTCTACAGCATCAAGATGCAGGGCAAGGTGCCCATGCACAAACTCTTCCTGGAGATGCTGGAGGCCAAGGTCTGATTGGCCGCTCGTCGCGTGACATCATCGGGGCCAGAGACTGCGGAGGACAGCCTGAGATGTTTTTAAAGACCTGGAAAAAAATAATAACTTGGTTTAAATCATAAATATAAATGGAAAAATAATTTAAAAATCTATAACAAATACTATGTACTTGTACAGTGATGCTTTTTGTTCTTGATCTGTGCTTATATATGATGGAAGAAACTGTAAGTCATTTCAGAGTGAGTAGTCATTTTTTCGTTCCGCTAACTCTCTGTACGTGTCGCCAACAACCTCAGTGCGGCCCTCGGACGACGCCAGGACACCTTGAGGACTTGTAAATATTCATGGCAGGATTTGGCCGAGGCTGGACGTGGAAGCTGCTGCCGGTTCTTCCCTAAATGTGAACTTGCTGATGTCCTTGAAAATACCTCTTCTTGAATCCTGGGAGGACGATGCTTGTGACGCGTTTATCCGGGATCTCAGTCATCTTACTCTAGTAGCTCAGCAATAAATCGAGCCGACGGCGAGAGGACGAGGAGCGCCCACCTCTTGTGTTGCACTGTACTGCTTTTTTTAACGACTTGTTATTGTTGTCGTTGATGTTTTGGCCTGAATGTAGTCGGTGGGTGGAGGGGACGAGGTTTCAAAGGATTTACGACGCGTGGCAGAAGTCCAGGACTCTCCGTGTTCAAACAATCAGATGCCCGTATGTCAAACGGCCTATTTTGGGCTTGTTAAGCCACCGGCTGAGGAAACGAGGTGCCCGTCATCATCTGCTTTTATAGCCATGTATCTGAATGAAGGTGGGCGGCAGGTGCGGGTCTTTATCACCAGCTTTATTTTTAGGTCTTGGAAGACGACAGCAGATTGAACTGGAGAGGTGTTTGACCTCATGTTGACACAATAGCATCGCTTTGAAAATGGCCTTCGAACTCGCCGTCCCTATAAACAGCTTATTACGCTTAGATCCGCTTGACAGCAGACCGTTGTACGGCTATTAGTCCGAGATATCCATTAGGAATATCCCGAGAAGCATTAGCTCTGAGAACGGCAGCAGTGTCATTGCGTGGACTGGGACGTCGGCGTACGCTACTGATGTCATTTACTTGAAGTGAACTGTGGGCTGTCGGGATGCAATGCTGTGACTGAAGGATCACAGGGTTTGATTGTGTCCTGGGGTGCGTTTCCCAAAAGCAACTTTGGTCACCAACATACAGTAGTTTAGCAATTCTCAAGCTTGTGTGGTTGGAAGTACAACTTTCGACCTGCGGTTATAAGCGTCTTGTTGGAATGACGTGGACTTAAATAGATCATGCTCAATTTGCACATTAAGCAAGATAACATGCAGTACATTCTATAGCCTTCATTGTATTTAAATGTTCAATTCAATTCAAATTTTGTCAAATATACATTGCTACAAAGCAGCTTTACAGAAAATGCATGCATCTACATTACAATTTAGAGTGATCTACTAAATCACCTGTGATTTTTCGATGGTTTTTTTCATTTCATGATACTTGGACATTTTGTTCTACGACGTAAACCCCATAGGAGAATCTGGAGGGAAGCTGTGGCAAATTACTCTTCCGGGTTTTGACGTCATGGTTGCAGCACTGTATACATTTCAATCTATATATTTTGGTGTGTCAAAAATCAGCTGCGTTTTTGAAGAGCGTGCATGTAAGTAAAAGTGTAAGCGAATCCCAGAGTATGAGGTGTTTGAATCAAACATCAAATGAAGCAAAATGATGGGAGATCACAAATAGTTAACTAGTCCTGACTGAATAAACCAATTACATATCGCATATTAATGTGATATTAAAAAACAAATGGCTTTCTGTTGTTTGTGCAAATTAACTATAACAATCGGACATTAAAGGTACGGTCACATTAATAAAATTTGCAAAAAATGTAGAGATGTTTGAAGCACTTTCAAGCCTGTTGCATGGTGAATTCACGTGAACAAAATCTGCATGATTGTGCAAAACTCTCGATAACACAGATTCCGATTGGACTGACTGGATTTCGCCTGTGAAATTTTTGCCGAGCAACAGTAAATGTGACCACATCTTATTTGCAATCTTGAATTGATTAATTAGCAGTCGTTATTACTCCACCGTATGTGTGTGACGTCATTAACGACAGGCCTATTTTGTCATCAGCGACGGAAGTGTGAACATGCTACTACGGTTTTGGGAAACAGTTGTGACTAGTTAGTTGCATTGCACTACGGTGGTTAAGCAGCGAGTTTGGTCATGTTTGGGAAACGCACCCAAGGTCGAATCTCTCTCTGCATTCCTGAAGGCTCTCATTGGCCTCCTAATGGCGAGAGACTTCGCAGAGAACTTGAACCCGCCACAGTCTCGAGCCGACCAGACGAGATAGGGAGAGAGAAGATAATACAGGGATTCATTTTATATGCAGCGGCGCAACTGTGTGGATTCACATTAGGGATCAATTCTGACTGAAATCATGCCAAAGCAGAGCACATCTGAACGACATGAACGCAGACGCTTCAAGCTACAGCACCCAAATGCGAATTCACACGTCACTGAGTTCTGAATAGGCCAGAACACAATTCATAACGTAACGCAATAGTACCGCAATGCTTTATGAACATCTGTTAGTCCTCCACTGAGATGGACATATGGTAATGAACATATATGCAACATTCACGTAGCTACCTCATCATTCATCCACGTCTGGACATTCTGTAAATACTGCCCTTTATTTAGCCTGTTCCTGTCATGTGGACAGTAACACAACATCTGGTATTGCTAGATAACTAGAATAACTTCTCACATACCACACTAACCACCAAAGCACACTACACTCTAACCACGTCCTGTTCGGTGCACTGATTTAGGTGCTTTCTTTCTACTTTTTTGACAGCGGGACACTCGGTCACATTCATCATCTAGCGTACCCAAAAACACGTAAATGTGTGAGTGGCATGAATATTGATTTGTGCCTCTCCGTTCACTGTTTAGGAAGGAAAAGATGCATATCTGTAAATGCTGTCAGTTATTTATTTGCTTCTACCGCAGCATGTCAGGGTCAGAATTGGTCCCTCAATGTTCAAAATGACGAAGGCTTTTGTGTTTCTCCTCAAGATATTAATTGTGTATATTATATCACTTTGGCCACGCTGTACTGTACAATAATATTGTTCATTTAACAAACACCTGTGTCACTTTCTTTTTTATGTCAAAAATGAAAAATAACAAAGGCGTACTCTCAAAGCACTTTTAGACTTCTGTTCATTTCCTCTCACAAACATACTGCCAGAATAACTTTCATATATACCAGATATTTATGATGTGAAATGTTGCATATAACAAAAAGAAATGTTTCATTAAGGATGGAGGTCATTTCAGGTAAGATCTCATGATAATATTTATTTTTGTGTGTGTGTGTGTGTGTGTGTGTGTGTGTGTGTGTGTGTGTGTGTGTGAGTGAGTGAGTGAGTGTGTGAGTGTGTGAGTGAGAGGGAGTTAGTGAGTGAGTGAGTGAGTGTTGAACAAATTACACTTTCTAAATTGATTATTAAACAACACAATAATATAGAAGTGATATTTAAAACTGAAGCTGTTGCGTTAGTAGGATGTTTTAATTAATGCATCAAGAACATTTACATTGATGCATTTGGCAGATGCTTTTATCCAAAGCAATTTACATTGCATTCAAATTTTTTGAGTTCATGCATTCCTGGAGAAACTGACTCGTGACTAACTGCTCTACTGTTTGAGCTACAGGAATGCTAATTTAATGAATGAAATGAATCTTTTATTTACACTGTTAAGGACACATCTGCACATGATTTAGAGCTGAAGCCATGTGCTGGACTCACTTATGCATTACTGTCCTGTAACTGTGGTCAGTGGAGCCGGATGACGATGACCTTTATCTGCTCTGCTGAAGTCTCTCAGATGGAGCGTG